CGAGTTCTTCGAGCTCCCCAAAGAACATTACCTACTTACACTGCACAAAATACATTTATAGCCTTAAAGCATGCGTAAGAATTACGTCCATTTCCTTGTGTGTTCATTTAATTCGGAAAAGTTGTCCCCAGGAGTAACCATTTTTTTCCTCAGATTCTTGTGTGGTTGTATAATTAGAACAGGTTTGGATGAACTTATTCTTATTAATCAGATCTTGGTTTTTTGTCCATGTTACATTGGAGTGTCCATTTATAGGCAAGGTAACAAGGTAACTACCAAGACACTTTGTCGGCGTGTCCTGATTTTCTTCAGTGCTTTTATGCTCATTCTTCACACGGTAACTTCTGTACCGTGAACTTATCATTACTGTTACGCTCGTATCAAATCATTTGTCTTTCGCCCCCTCCCAGCACTTGCCACCACTGTGAAGATTAAGTTCTGCGAAAATGTCCTCAGACAATTTCCTCAGACCATAAAATTCTACTACCGTGAAAACAAAGTCAGTACGTTGTAACGACGCCATCTTCCTTTCTTGGTCAGACTCAGTACCAAACGTCATCGATTTGCAACTTATGATAACGGTCTTATAATACCGTTATCATAAGTTGCAAATCGATGACGTTTGTTTGATTTGCTCGCCATGAAAAATCAGTAAGCAACCTTTACGATCGAATGAACCTAAGCCAGCTAGTCCACTAAACATTTTAACGCAGAAACACGCTGTTGAATGTTTTATAATAGTTGATGTGATATGATGAGCTCACCTCTTGGGCGGATGCGGGCAGAGAAAAGAGCCAAAAAGCGCCAACACCGTGAGGGCCATGATGGCGCAGCCTTCTTTTTCTTCTAGTAGTCGGCACCGAGCAAGTCACTGTGATCTTTCCTCTCTCTCCGTTTATTATTTCACTCCATACTATAGTATGGAGTGAAATATTGCTTTTATGGTTTCAACACTTTGTGGTGGGACATAATTGTCAAGTGCCATTTTTGTAAATAAAGCTGCGTCACTATAGTGTATTGTTATGTTATACTAATATTGGTTATTAGTTGAGTTGACCCTAACGGTCGTGACCCTACTAGAGGTCACCTCGTGCGGCGCACTCTTTGTCCGCCATTGTTTGTTGTTTTTGATGTGTTCCATAAAGCCCTCGTCTCCGGATCTCATCT